TCCTGCAAGCTGTGCTACCCAGAAATCCCCTTCCCACAGAAAGAGAATGGACCTTGCCTTATGTCTTGCTAGAGGCTTTTGTTCTTCTTCTGGGAAATTCCAGGTTCAACCTCTTCCTATCCAATCATACTTGTTCTTGCTTTCAAAGAAAACCATCAGTAGTGTCCAGAATTTGCATTTCTTCACAGGCTTTCTGTGTGAGATGAGATAAATCTTCTTCCATTCCTAGAACATGAACAGCAGCGTTGTTCACATTACCTGAATTCTAGAGATTATCCATAAATAAATGCTTTTCTCTCCTTCCCCACCTCTAGTGGCTGACAAGGCTGCCTACCTAACGGGCCTTAACTCAGCTGAATTTCTCAAGGCCTTGTGTTACCCTCGAGTCAAGGTTGGGAATGAATACGTGACCAAAGGTCAAAACGTGACACAGGTAATTTCTGACAGTTGCAAATGCACAGCTTGAAGGAGTACATGCACATTTTTCTTTGTCCTTCAGAGGTAACTCTAGTCCTGTCTCTTTTACTCTAGGTGAACAACGCTGTGGGTGCCCTGGCAAAGGCTGTGTTTGAGAAGATGTTCCTGTGGATGGTTGTTCGCATTAACCAACAGCTGGACACGAAGCAGCCCAGGCAGTACTTCATTGGTGTCCTGGACATTGCTGGCTTTGAGATCTTTGATGTAAGGAGCAAAGATTTGACAGCACAGTCAAGCAATGGGCAAGGAGGGGTCATGAGTACTCAGAAATACATAGAGGACTAAGGCTCACACAGCTGTGGGCCAAAGGGGTGGATGCTTTTGTAGACGTAGTGGTCTGGGCAAGTTCACAGCATGTTTCCTGTGCTGTGAATACAGTGATGATGCAAGGACTTCTGTGTCAGAACTCAGAAACACCCAGATGATTGATCTGAGGCCAGGGAAATTCTTGGGTGGGACACTGAGGAGGTTTCTACTGCCCAGGAACTCAGACAGCTGATACCTATGGAGCTACTGACCTTACTGAAGACTTTCAGTTGAGTAGCAGAGTGAAAAAGAATTGTAACTTTTGGCTTGATTTGCAAAGTAATAATGGAAATGTCCTTCAAGGACAGTGAGTGTTAGAGTAGAAGGCCTGCTAAGGAAACACATGCTGGTACTGTAGGGTTGGGATTAGTGATTCAACTTCAAGCAGCCTTAGGAGAATGGTGGCAAAGGCCTGTGTGTTTTGGCACACCTTGTGAACCTGTGCACCTTTCCTTGCTTTGGGCAGTTCAACAGCTTTGAGCAGCTGTGCATCAACTTCACCAATGAGAAACTGCAACAGTTCTTCAACCACCACATGTTCGTGCTGGAGCAGGAGGAGTACAAGAAGGAGGGGATTGAATGGGAGTTCATTGACTTTGGCATGGACCTGGCTGCCTGCATTGAGCTCATTGAGAAGGTACCTTTCCCATGCAAGCCTATGATGGCTGTTGCCATTCTGTGGTATTTCTGAGGTACAGTCAGTTCAGAAAGAACTCACAGCCAGACCTGTAGAATCAGTTATGGAAAGTATTTTGCACTGAAATTTAGTTTAGTGTGGGGAAGAGAAATGGGGAAATGCACATGTGTGTCAAAAGTCTGCATCATCCAGTCTTGAAGCGTGGAAAAGAAACATGGACTCCCACCAACAGACTTCTAAAGACAAACCTGCTTGAGTCTCTTTTTCTTCCTCCTCCAGAGGCTCAAATCCAACATCAAGAGACAAATTTGAGGAATAAATATCATATCACCTGACCTCCCCAAACTATGGAGCCCCTTGTAGTTGTTTTCCCCGTTATTTTTCTTTTTACCATTGCTTCCCCAATTCTACATGCAATTCTCATGTGAACTGGAGAGATGTTCCTAGCAGTTCCATGAAGATAGGCTGCAGGGAGGCAAGGGATGGCAGAAATAAACTCTTTGAGTGAGAACAACTGCTGGTAAACCTGGGCTTTCATTCAGGCTGAGATGCTGCCAACAGCCCAAGCAGTCTTTGATGTTCATAGCACAGGCTTCTTGTCATTTTCATAGAATCACAGAATGGTTTGGGTTGGAAGGGATCATAAAGGACATTTTGTTCCAGTCCCATACCATGGGGAGGGACTCCTTCCACTTAACCAGGCAGGTGAATGTCTCATCCAAAGTGATATTGAACATTTCAATTATAACCTTTCCTTGTCACTTCTTGTGATTTCTCCCAGCCCATGGGTATCTTCTCCATCCTGGAAGAGGAGTGCATGTTCCCCAAGGCAACTGACACCTCTTTCAAGAACAAGCTCTATGACCAGCACCTGGGCAAGTCCAACAATTTCCAGAAGCCCAAGCCTGGCAAGGGCAAGGCTGAGGCCCACTTCTCCCTGGTGCACTACGCTGGCACAGTGGACTACAACATCACTGGCTGGCTGGAGAAGAACAAGGACCCTCTGAATGAAACTGTCATTGGGCTGTACCAGAAATCATCCTTGAAGACTCTGGCTTTACTCTTTGCCAACTATGGTGGAGCAGATGCCGGTTAGTTATGTAGAAATTGTATTTTTAATATGGTTACAAAGTTTTCTCAGAATTAAAGCTGCAAATACTGGAGAAGTGGCTTTGTGTTCTGTAGCATGCATATATATTGCCGGTAATAAAAAATGTTTCTTTTGCTTTTCTGTGACTTGCAGAGGCTGGTGGTGGTGGTGGCAAGAAGGGAGGCAAGAAGAAGGGTTCTTCCTTCCAGACTGTCTCAGCTCTCTTCAGGGTAAGAACAGAATTAATTTCCTCATTTAAATACTCACTGAAATAACATAGGAGTTCAGTGAAATTGCAGTCAGAAGACAAGCCTGTTATTCACTAATACTCTGATCCATATTTATACAATTTTTACGCCCACATAATCATGCATTTCCTATAGTTCAAGACAGAGAAAGACTCAGTTTTTTATGCACATCCTAGAGAAGCAGGAGGTTTTTACTAGATTAAACCTGGACTTTTCCTTGTAATGTCACAGGAGAATTTAAACAAGCTGATGACGAACTTGAGAAGTACTCACCCCCATTTTGTACGGTGNGACACTGAGGAGGTTTCTACTGCCCAGGAACTCAGACAGCTGATACCTATGGAGCTACTGACCTTACTGAAGACTTTCAGTTGAGTAGCAGAGTGAAAAAGAATTGTAACTTTTGGCTTGATTTGCAAAGTAATAATGGAAATGTCCTTCAAGGACAGTGAGTGTTAGAGTAGAAGGCCTGCTAAGGAAACACATGCTGGTACTGTAGGGTTGGGATTAGTGATTCAACTTCAAGCAGCCTTAGGAGAATGGTGGCAAAGGCCTGTGTGTTTTGGCACACCTTGTGAACCTGTGCACCTTTCCTTGCTTTGGGCAGTTCAACAGCTTTGAGCAGCTGTGCATCAACTTCACCAATGAGAAACTGCAACAGTTCTTCAACCACCACATGTTCGTGCTGGAGCAGGAGGAGTACAAGAAGGAGGGGATTGAATGGGAGTTCATTGACTTTGGCATGGACCTGGCTGCCTGCATTGAGCTCATTGAGAAGGTACCTTTCCCATGCAAGCCTATGATGGCTGTTGCCATTCTGTGGTATTTCTGAGGTACAGTCAGTTCAGAAAGGACTCACAGCCAGACCTGTAGAATCAGTTATGGAAAGTATTTTGCACTGAAATTTAGTTTAGTGTGGGGAAGAGAAATGGGGAAATGCACATGTGTGTCAAAAGTCTGCATCATCCAGTCTTGAAGCGTGGAAAAGAAACA